TTAAACTTCAGTTACATTAAAAGATCGTTAAAAAAAACTTGTATATTATTTATGTTTTGTGTATATCTATATATACATATATATATACACATATATACATGTGTATATCCGTGTGTTGCCGTGGTGTAAAACATACACATACACCGCTTCGTTTTGTTGGTAGTTCCAGTTTCGTTCAGGAGGTATCCTGAAGGTCTATAGCAGATTGTGTTAAGCTTTTACTGGCCTGTTGGGAATGTTCCAAGAAATAATTATAGCACGAATAGATGAGCTGGTATCAGCGAATACCGATAATTTTCATTTGTCGAATACTTTCAAGAAAAGGAACGAGACCTTCTCATTCTTGATGTTGACCAGTCCATTTTTATTAGCTCTACTGCAACGTGTTTCTCATACTGAATTTATCTGATATCAGTCTAACATATAAATCTTGTTAAATTCAACAAAAGTCATTTTTACCATTTTTTGCCTTATCACGTTTATAATGTTTTACAATGATTTTGAAAATTAGGTCAGTAAAAGCGTCCACAACGCTTTATTAACTTAAACAACGTTGTACAATGCTTTATGGTAATTTGAAAATTAAGTCAGACCTTCAGAGAACAATCCGCACGTTCATTTTTCTGTTCCAATTTGTATTTACAGTGTTGTGTTCAGCAAAAAAAGAAAAAAGAAATCGTTAACTCGATGTCCATCAGAACGGCGATAAAAGCAAACTTTTCATCCGTTTTGTCTCATCGATGTCACATTTTATATACGTACAAATTTATGTTTATACGTTTCACACTCGCATCTTTTCTCCCGTGTTCAACATATCCCTATAAATCTCCATAATCGATAGCTTGGACCATATACACGTACTCCTCACACTAAGATTAATACGTATACACTATCGTATATATATACTACTTGCTGTTCGTTATTCGAGATATGGGAAAAAAGAAAAAAAAAAAAAAACGTAAAGAATCTTCGGAATAAAATTTCGCGTGTGATCTATGCGGACAATATGCAATAATAATTTCTGAACGCGTTTTACAGCATGATTATTACGGATATATCTGTTATATGTGTGATTATTCTTTTACAATACCGAAGTCTCGCATCCCTTGCGTGTTAGATTTAATTTCCACTGACCCTAAAGTGCATGACACGATCCACGAGCTATCTGTTCCCCCCTCCTCCTTTTTTCAGTCATCAGGCAGACTCTGGAGTCTCATTGTACATTATTCTTCTTCTATTTCCGTTTTTTTACCCTTATTTTCTGTTCACGAAGTTACATCACATGGGTTCTCAGACGGTAGTTTGCGTGAAGTATAGGATATTACGTGTGGCGTGTTCTAATCGGAGAAAATGGTAATGGGACTGCTTGGAGAACGTAATCGATTCCCGCTAATATATATCTACACACTTTGTTTCCCTGCGCTCTCTTTACGCATCTACACCACAGTGTCACAGATTAACGCAGACTATGTCGTATATATATATATATTCACTTATTGTTGGTCACGGTGTACATGTTACGATGAAAGTACTCTCTGATTCTAGGAAATATTGTTACAGCTATTTCTTTGGAAATATCAAAAGGATAGAATTCCTTGCATCGTTCTGGTAGACTTTGTTCTTCTCATAACGTTGCTACTGAATTATCCAATTTAAAACTAACAAGTGTTCAGAGAAGAATAAGGAGAGATTTTTATTGGTAACTTTCACCGTAACATGTTCATCGCTGCATATACAGGATGTTCTATAACTGGTGGTATAAACTGGGGAGTGATTCTACGTGAAAAAATAAACAGAAAATATAGAATAAAATTGTTTCATGAAAGACTTAGATTTGAGAAAATTGAATTTGAAGATCTGCTAAAAACTCTTTCTTTCGTTCATACTTTTATGTCGATAAACAAGCATTTGTATCATTAACAAGAACGTCATTTTCAACAATTCGTTCAGTAACATTAATTAATAATCAAGAAAACCGTTAATAAATATACTATCAGTACTCATCAGGACATCGCTTGCATCGCTTATTAATACAAGCATAGCGCCGAGAGATTAGATTAAACGCAGGTGTGCTCGCCGAATATTTCAATTTAATTTTCTCAAAAAACTAAGCTTTCTATGGAAAAATGTTATTCTTCATTTTCGCTTTATTTTTTCACGTAGAATTACCTGTTTCTATCGTTCCAGTTACGAAGCACCCTGTATAATGATTTTCCATGGGCGAACCGGAATTGTTCTCCCTATATTGGCTTGGATAAACCTCGGAGGCTTACGCTGTAGACACAGCAAGCTAAATGACTAACTAGCAAACTCACGTCTGTCTTTCTCTGTGGTCATATTCGGTTCTCGAGCGGCTGAAGGATCTGTACGCGGAACTGTCGCGTTCTCTCTTCTCTGTTTAGAAATCCCGCGGAGATGTCGCACACGTGCCGCGGCACGATATCCTTGCACGGGGCCTTAATACACACCGTGGACGCTTGCACGTTCGTTGTGAGCAACGGTGGTACGCAAACCTTCCATATCAAGGCGGCAACAGAGGTGGAGCGACAGCAATGGGTCACGGCCCTCGAGCTGGCTAAGGCCAAGGCTATTCAGGCTATGGAATCTGGTCTGTATATCGAGAACGATTATCATGTTTGCCTATCATAACGTTTACAGAGAAAAAGAATCAGTCTGTAGCTGGATAACATCACATTGAACCTTTTTGAACAGAGGAGCTATTACTCTCTAGTCATCTAACAGATGGAAATATTGATTACGTGGTAATCTAGGAGAAGAGACTCAGGATTAGAGGACTAGACTTTGAAACAGAGTGAAAACAGGGAAAAAAGAAATAGCTTGGATGTGGAGAACTCTACCGATGTGGCAAAAACGAAATATTGATTATACAGTAATCTAGGAAACAGGCTTTGAATTGGAAGTACTAGAGCTTTGAATAGAGTGGAACCCCTAACAGTCGTCAGGCAGAAGAAATATTGATTGTATATGGTAATCTAAGAACAAAGAAATCTTGTGAAGAGACAAAAAGAAATTGCTACTATGAGTGTTAAGACTGTAGACAGCTCTTGTTGGGAATGTTTAATTCAGAGACGGTATTAGTTGCTTGTACAAGGCCAACAATCTAATAATATGGCTGAGTAATTAGAAAACGGGTGTAATGGTTATGTCTGAAAATCTTTGGTTAGATGATACTCGAATTTCTTTTTACCAACAAGACTGATTCTTTCTCTCTGTACTCTGGGTGCGAATTTCTGAGCAGGAATCAATTGCTATCTTGAACCAATGGACCTATTAACAGTTTGCAAGCCGTATAGAATAGCATTAAAGGCAATTGTCCACAGCAGGCTATTCTAACGTGCACACCATTGAAACCCGGCACATTTTTTCACGCAGCAACCGGTAGATGAATGATCATTTAAGTGACGCGTGATACAATTAAATAATAACGTAAATCTCGGTAGCAATTTATGATCAGACACAGGGTAGAGTTATACTGTTTTAACCGAAGATCATTTTCCATAATTGCGATTAGAATAGACAAATGATTTTCATAGAAAAAAGGAAACCAGATCGTCCTCGCGGCATTTAATCAACCGAGGACGTAGTACGTCTTCATTTGCAAAGAAAAAAAAGCAAAGAACGTAGTTAATAAGGCAGCTAATAAATTGACAACCGTCGGGAATTAATTGGTTTCTGCATTGGAATTGCATCGCCGTTGCCTCCAGCAAAGCATCAAATCTTCTTAACATTTCCTTTGCATGTTTTCTCTCGTTCTTTCCAAGACGATAACGAAGCTAAATATTTCTTCGCGCGCCACGTTTCTTTCTACGTAAATCAAATGTTCCGATAAAAGATAATAGAAAAGGAAGTAAATGGCGATAAGTGGAGCAGAAAGAAAGGGACCCACAGTCTGTTGCGAATACCAGTTGATACTTGGTCCACGTTCGCTACGTATCCCCTTTAGCTTCCACGGTCAATTGTTCACTTTTTATTTACTGACTAAACGTATTCCAGTATTTTACGTGACGACCGTTCATCATGTTATCTATTGGCCTATAAATCATGACACAAAATAAATTGACTCTGCCACTTAATTAACTGTATTCTTCTAGAAGACATCACGAACGTATTTATGAGATATTGAGTCATTGTTACGTTATCTTTTGTTCAAATTCCAACGCAGGAATCTCTCTGTTGCCTTTTACCAACGGGTGCATCGAGAAAACTGAACTACGTTTTGAGCAATTACGTTATGTGAGGTAAAATTTGTTCTAGAAGAAGAGGAGGAGGAGTTCCAGGATAACGAAAATCAGAAAGCAGAGGAGGTAGCCGTGATAAAGGACCTTTCGCAACGTTTAGACGACTTACAGGCCTGTAATGATTTGGTAGTGAGGAAAGGATCCACGCTTCAGCTGGCTTTAAACGAGCTCGAAGCGTTGGAGGCTCCGTCGCCCGCTTTGGCGACAAAAATAAAGACAGTCAGCGAACGAGCAACGCTCTTTCGTATCGCGGCCGGTGCTATGGTTAATGTAAGTTGAAAGGACGTCGTTAAGAGTAATATAAGAGGATGAAAATTTCTGGACCAACCGTGCGTAAAATTAGCCCCTTCGATGAAGCCGAAGCAATTGTGTTATTTTGTTGCTAAATATTGTGTTCAAAGAGGAGGAGCTAGTCAAATATTCCAAATTAATTACAAGTAACTTTTAATATGATCGAGAAGAAAAACTAATAGATTTGTTTTAACGTGTGTTGCACAGATAATACTAATGACACTGCGTAGAAACAAAATAGGACAAATTGTGATTTCAGACGAGCAATGAGTATTTGCAACTAGCGCAACAGCAAGAGTCAAAGTGGAAGAAGATGCTGCAACACGAGCGTGATCAGAAAGTCCGGATAGAGAAAATGGTCGAGCAACTTGCCAGGCAGCATTCCCACTTGGAGGAGGCTGCGCAACACGCCCTTCCAACAGCGGTAACAGCAGGGGGGCACAGATCTTCTCGTAATTTGATTTACTTTCTATTCTATATTAATATGGTTGGTAGTGCTGAAATTAATGTTATGATGCTACTACTGACGCTGTTGTGTATGGTGACGCTGAGAAAGACAAACCCTCCTGTATTTGTTTATTGTCCATGTTGTGTCAAGCTTTTACCTTTGTACGTTGTTCGCAACACAATGTTCTGATTGTGCTATAAGGCCTTTTAACTTTGTAACAGTGACTGAGTTCTAATAGAAATGTATATTAAATACACACATGGTCGCACATGTTATACGTATATGTCTGGTATCAGGCGGTTGGCAATGTTCCGCAGGGTGAGAGGGATGCTGTATTCATCACACGATAGTGCACAGCTGAATGTGCTCTTATACACGTGTATACATACAATCGCTTGTTGATATTCACTTTGTCATGGCACGTGCATTTGAATTTTCGAGCCTTCACGTGCTTTGTCGTTCTCTAACCAGATGGCAGTTGCGTAGCTTCACCTGATTTGAATTGTGGTTCGCGAGTAACGTAGCTTACACAGTCTATGCATGAAATACGTGCAGTACATTCTACTATATTGTATGGCATATTACAGTAATGTATACAGTACTTCTATGTATATATACACACATTATAGATATGTATATATACATACGCACGGGTGTGCTTTCATTTCTCCCAAGCTTGACGCTTAATCAGACTCAGATGGCCTTGTAAATTTCCATTTTCGTACGAGTTCTTTTTTGACAGTTCTTTTCCGTGATTCCACCGTGAAATTCAATGTGATAAACCTTGAGTCGAGAATCGAGAGTTTCGACGATTGTGTTTGAGAGGATCAGTGGAGAGATGCTAAACCGATAGTTCGAACGAAGCGAAAGGGGAGGAGTCTGTCATCAACTGGTTCATAACGGTCGGCAGCTTCAATCAAGTTTTAGTGAGGGCTGAATATATGAAAGCGCCCAACTAATCTCGGAATCTAGCATAACCAAATGCGTGGTATATTGCAGTTACCTGTTAAAAAAAATCACTGTGTACGAGCACCTTCAGTGATTCATCATTCGTTACTTTAACCAGCACTGCAGGTGTGGACCGAGATTGGGGGGGTAGAGGACAGTTCAACTTAATGGCAGTAGCAGTTGTCATACCACGATTCTATCGGTTAAGAAGGGGAACGACACAAATAATAAAGAACAGGGGAGGGGTAGAAGAAATATTTCAAACCAGAGAAGTAAAGTGAAATAAATTTGAGCAGTGGCATGTGCGGTTATATAGGTTCAACAAATATCTTATTCTTTGCCTTATATTTTACATTGGCGCGAAATATATGTTTCATTGCGTAACCACTATCGATAGCTTTTGCAGTGTTTTTTGTTCATGCATTTTCGCATTTTATCTATCGCTAAACTTGACAAGCAAACATGACTCATAAAATGTAAATGTTTTCTCCATTTTGAATTCTAAAAACATTTTGCAATAAGATTGTAATTGAATAACTGTTTCATTGATCAGCTAAATCTTATTTAGCTTGCATATATATCTTTGCTTACTTATTTAATTATCTATTAAGCTAAACTAAGCAAACATTTTGATTGTCTTAGATACAACAGTTGCAACTTCCCCATCAGAGGACGAGGAGGATAATGCAGAATTTTATGATGCACAAGAATCTGATACTTTTACTCTAAATATATCTGGTGTCCAAACTAACAATTCAAGAGATCGAACCGATTCTCAAGGTAGTGATGATGGTTCTAGTTCTGAAGGAGACCAAACACCTTTGTCTTTATCAGACACTGCTCCTGCTAATTCCTTTCGTATTGTGACCGATTCTACAGTAGTAACTCCCACCACTGCTGCAAACACCGACAATCTGGACAATGTAAATGAATCTCTATTATTTAATTACTAAACTTTAATTGAATTAACTTGAAGATAACTCTTATTAAACATCTGGCATTTTGTGTCAGACAAATTGGGAATCCAACAATGGCAGCAGTGGCAGCTCCGGGGTGACAGGTTGTAGACGAAAAAGGAGGACAAGGGTACCTGAGAAACCAAATTATCCCTTAAATTTATGGAGTATTATGAAAAATTGCATTGGTAAAGATTTATCAAAAATTCCAATGCCTGTCAATTTTTCTGAGCCACTTAGTATGCTTCAACGGCTTACAGAAGATTATGAATATGCAGATATTCTTGACAGGTATAATTTATCTCTTTATTATACTGTTATCTAAATAATATTAATAAAATAAATGATTATAATAATAATTTACAGGGCAGCGGAGTGTACAGATAGCTGTGAACAAATGGCTTATGTTGCTGCATTTACTATATCTAGCTATTCCACAACTGCTTCCAGAACTGGAAAACCTTTCAATCCTTTGTTAGGTGAAACATTTGAGTGTGATCGCGTTGAAGATTTAGGATGGCGCGCGATTTCAGAACAAGTGTCGCATCACCCTCCGATGTTAGCGCAACATTGCGAGGGCCGAAAATGGCGTTGTTGGCAAGAATTTACTATGGCGTCTAAATTCCGCGGAAAATACCTCCAAGTATGTTTTGATAGGTTACTTACAAAACGAGGTTTTCACAACATAGTGAAAAAAAAAAGACAGGTTACATTTAATCCGGTTGTGAATCATTGTAGGTAATACCATTAGGAACTGCTCACCTTGAGATGGACGGTGGTACACAACATTACACGTGGCGAAAAGTCACGACTACAGTACACAATATAATAGTAGGAAAATTATGGGTTGATCAGAGTGGCGATACGGATATTGTAAATCACAAAGAGGGTATTAAGTGCCATTTAAAGTACACGCCCTATTCATACTTTGCAAGAGATAGTCAGCGTAAAGTAAAAGGAATAGTCATGAATTCAAACAATGAAGTTAAGTGGGTTGTGCAAGGTACATGGGACTCAAAGATAGAAATTGCACCTGTGATCAGTACATCTGGCACGCCGGATAATCCAGTATATAAAACAGGACCTTATATACTCGCATGGAAGCGCCGTATGCCACCGTAAGTATTGTTTAATTCAAACCGCGGTTAATCCTTAAAAATTATCTTGAATTTTTTTTATATTGTAACATTTTTGTTTCTACAGTGATGATAGTGACAAGTATTACAATTTTACGGAATTAGCATGTCAACTGAACGAACCTGAGGAAGGAGTAGCTCCCACAGATTCTCGGTTTAGGCCTGATCAAAGATTAATGGAAAATGGTCAATGGGACGAAGCAAATGCAGAGAAACTTCGATTAGAAGAAAAACAAAGAGCTGTTCGACGTGCTAGGGAACACGAAGCCGAGAAAGCAGCTTGCCAAGGTATTATTAAATATTTCTTGTAAACCTTTTAAGGACAAATTGTTTAACGTTCTGATATATTATCGATACAAATTTAATTTATACCAGGTTTTCCGTATGAAGTTTATGAACCATTATGGTTTAAGAAAGAGCAGGATCCATATACGGACAGTCTGTGCTACATATACGGTGGTGAATATTGGGAGTGTAAGAGTAAAGGTGATTGGTCACGATGTCCACACATATTTTAGCTTATTATATAATTATATCAATTAATATTGTGACCGCCAATATACAGTGCAGAAATGTTTGGATTTGTTTTAAGTGAAGATAGCCGATTTTAGAAATCACTTTCGTGAAGATCACTGCTTCTAAAGAAAAAAAAATGCTGAAGTGATAGAGCGGGGTTGTTAGGTGACATGGTTCAGACACTATTTCTTCCAATGAACTGGTCGAAGTTGGCATTCTGACACATAAAACGAGCGTTTTTTGTAGTATATCATTACCTCCATTATCCTATACATCCTTCTGTCTGTTTATATTACCACTGCATCCCTCTCATTTACTCACTTTTCTAAACAACCAGAACATTAATTGTATACAATCCACATGGCCCAATTAAACGCTTTACATACGATTTTTGTATAGACTTGAAAATTTTCTGTATTTGTTACTAGGTTCTGTTACTAAGCTAAATATGTAATAATACATTCGCAAAAAGAAAATCCAGATACTACTGATAAGTAAAGTAATTCTCAAGAATGTTGTTAACTCAGTTTACAACTGATAATAGCAATAAGATCGATGATTTTTATTACGAGAACATTAAAACACTAGAAATTAAAGACCATAATTACTGGGAGTTTAAGTTGAAAATACGAAAACCCACTTAAGGCTATTAATACTACAGTATTCATAACTTGTTCCAAATGAATCTAGGTGTAATTAAATTGTTCTGCTTTTTTTTTTAGAAATGGAACTGAATTCGTAAGTTCCAACAAGATCGATTGTTAAACACCAACTTCGTAAAATTGCCATATAATTTTTCTGACACACGATTATCACGTATCCATCGCGGAAAGTACTTACATAGGATTATTAAAAAATGTATTTTCGATGCTTGACGCGATGCTGAAGTTATTTCAAAGACTTTAAAAGAAAATAATATTAGAAAAAAAATTGTTTTAATAGTATTTGCAGAGTAAAATCAGAAGTAAGAAATAATCGCGTTAAATGTGTCTAAAGCCTTATTGAGTTATTTAAAGTAAGTATTAATAGGTGATACGCGTTTTTACATATTGGTTATTTACAAGTGTGGTGCGGCCAGACTGTTCACTCGACTGCCACGTCTTAACCTTTGCACGAAAATCGGATAAGAGGCGGCATTCGTTCACGTTGATACGACAATCTGTAACCGCTATGAAGAAAAATGTTCCTGCGGATAAAATGTTCGTAACAACGAGAGAATTCAGTATATCATTGAGACTCATCTCAATGATTCATACGAAAATCTTGTTCTGCTGAAACATGTAACGAGAAATAAAAGAAAAAAGAAGCAGATGGTATAAAATGGGTACGCTTCCAAATTTCTGCAATTTTCCGTGCAGATGTAGACTCTAAATGTTCCACAAAATATAGACTGGTTTATGTAACCAGCCTACTTACTATACACTCCGTCGAGCTAATGTTACAAAACATAATCAATATTATTATTACGGGAAATGTGTAAAGAGAATTTAAGATCACCTTTGAAAAGCTCATAAGTGTAGTAAGTTCTTTCTTTTTCTTTTTTCTTCTTTAAAAAAAAAAAAGGAAACGCTTGAACTCGAAGCATTAAACACTCACTAAAACTGAAATCCTTTTCCAAGCTACAGTATGTAGACACGCACACATCCATACACAGGTACAAGCCGCGCGATTGAGCGCAAATGATTGCGTACGTACGTATGTATGTATGTATGCTGTATGTATGTAGGTATGTATGTATGTATGCCCGCATGTACATATGATAATTAATAAAACCCATTGTATATCCCTCTTATGAGCACATCATAATACCAGTTGTTCCGTTCATAGTGTTTGTATATTGACAGCTATAATAATTTTGGTCTGTATAAAACGACATTGAATGGAACACCTAGCTTGCAACTGATGTTGACAACCATTGTTATAAATAAGTATTTGGCTGTATTATAATTTTAATAGTTGATTATAATCGGAATATATCTGTATACATATAAATACAAATGGACTATAAAATAAATAATTTAAAGAAAAATACAATAAGGCGGATAGAACAGATGTTTGGATTATAATAGTGCTTGTACATTAGCTATTACGTGTGGAACGATAAATACAAAAAATGCTTCGCTACAAAATCGAAGAATATCTTTGTAGCATTCATATGATTTGCCTTTTGGCAATATCCTATGTAACATCCGTTGGTCGCACAAATGGTGCAATTATTTATACGATAAATAACCGTAGTCTTTTGTTCCATCAAACGAATTGTATTGATTTATTGTAACAAATTAAAAACGATATTGAACGGGTAACATTTATCATGGAATGTTTCATTTCTACCTAGTCATCGATCCATCTACCTATCGTTACTAAAAATCTTGATTTGATATCTCGCGCGCTATGATAGAATACACTGGAACGATCTTCTGCCTGTTTTTAGTACGATTTTATTCTGCACGTGCAAATTTGCTAATTCCGACACAGTTTTTATTCATTTCCTATTCTCAGAAGTAAAATCGATTTTCATCAAGCATAAGGACAATTATCGTCATTAAAATTCCTTGAAATTAAGCGACGATAAAATGTTTTATCGCGAACGACGAGTGAGTCTGTCAGAGATTTCCTCTTTCGTTCCGTGTTTCATGCGTCTAGTTCCACGTTCCGATAGGACGTATCGCGTCATTGATTTTATAACGTATGAATGAAATATATACTAGGTATTCGTTATTTATCGTAATGAACGATAAAACAACGCTGATAGATACACGGATATTTTCATTGGTATAGTTTTACCGGATATTCGGTGAATTTAACCGACATGCGCGCGGCATCGGTAACGGATGACGTCACGCGTAGTAATACACGCCGGGAGCGCATGGCGAGTGGAGTGTCTGCAGAGGCTGCGCGAAGTGGGAACTGCTTTCGATTGTTGGCGGGCGCCGCCATCTTGGTCAGTGAGCTTGCGAGTGGCTGTGCGACGAGGACTACGTTTTTCGGTGAAACGAGTAATTCGTGCGATTTCCTTCAAACCCTGCGTCCAACCGTTGAAATCCACGAGCATCGAAGATGTCGGAACGGGAGGATAACGTTTATAAGGCGAAATTGGCCGAGCAAGCGGAACGCTACGACGGTGAGTGCATATTTTCCGGGAAAGGACCCGGCCTGCGGCAAAATGAAATCCACGAAATCGACACAAAGCACGGCCCCGAAGAGAAAGGAGGTAGCACCGCCCTCGTGGCGTTCTTGCCGTACGATTTCGTCGGATATAAGAAATGAAGCTCCTCTGAGAACCGAGAACCTTAAAACTGGGATCGAGTCTCATTGGATCTGTCAAAAGTCTGTGAAACGTCAAATATGACTAATCCACGCTAACGGTCGTGGCCGTGTAGCCGGTTCGTGACCGGTATTCCTTTTTATTAAAAGGGTGGGTTCGTTCTTGGCTTCTGTCATCGTTCCGCCGGAACCCTGTCACGATACGCGAGCTCTCGAAAGCCCTTTGAGAAAAGGATCGGTCGGAGAAAGCTACACGAAAAGGTTTCCTCGTTTATTCGAGCTACATTGTTTCGTTGAAACAAGCTGGCCAACAGCGGGGCAGCGTTGCTAGGCGTGCTGTTCAGAGTAGTTTACGGGGGCCTCTCAACAGATAACCAGACAAGTCGGTCCTTCACCGACGTGTGTGACGCATAGACACGGCATGATACTTACCAATCGCTGCCGGGTTACTCCTTAGACTCACGTAGTAACGCGTGCTCTGCTCGTGGCATTTGGCCTTGAAAGCTGAGAGAAATCATTCGGTCGATCGATCGACTGATCCATCGCATATCTTTCCGAAAAATTGTCTAGATATATTTTTTCTCTTGTTACAGGCGCTTTTCCTCAGTGTCGTAGCTCGTTCGAGCACAACTATCTCTTATTACGGAGTACGCGCCGTTATAATTTCGGTTATAGAAATTTTTTACATTGCTCCTGGCGAAAGTAGTATGTAGTGGGGACTCTTCGTGTCTCGTTGGAAGGGGGAACCGTCAAATCTCTTCGTTTCACGAACCTCCTCTCTCGTTTTGCATTTCTCCCTAGAAATATTTTACGCAGCGTGTCTTTGTCTTCCTCGCGGAACGTTATCGGACCAGCGAATCGAACGGCACGCGTTTGACATTTTGCGGAAGCTACAATGTACATACATATATACATACATACGTATTTTCATGTAAATCTCCCGTAACCGTCCAATGACTCGACTTATGTAGACTAGCAGCGACTCTAGCTAGGCTACATACTCATAGGTTATTAGATTCTTTTCAAATATTCTTCACTGGAAGAAACGGTTTATAAACAAGATCCCTATGTCTGAAATTTGTTTTTCTCTCGAAATACCTCAAATCGTCAGAAATCTTATTCTATTGTATTGTCGAGGTCATGGACGTTATAATCAAGTAAGAACACGAACCAATGATTTCAGTAAAGAAATACCGCCGTGTCATTAATCCCGAATACCTGCTTTTCATAATTTCGTCGTTTTCGTCGCTGCTTGGGCACGTTAATCGAAACAGCCGTATTAAAGGGTAGAAATACACACATAGAGGAGACAGAGGATCCCGGTTGAAACGGCCGCTAAGCGTGAAGAATGACAGGGTAGAAAAGGGAGAGGAGCTGATGCGACTCTCCCGGGATGAGGTGGAGGAGAGAGAAGGAAGGGCGGTGGGCAAATTCGAGGGTTGCCTGAGCAAGACGGCGGAGGATGAGGCTGGGAGGAGGAGGGGTCGGAGCGAGATTACGAGTGGAGGGTGAGAACGGCAAGGGGTGAGATGGCTGGCGGGGTGGGGGGAGCAAGAGAGGCCGTAGCAGAAGGAAAGTATTGATCTCTGTAGTCGGGTATATCCTCTACGTTTCTGTAGACCGCCGTCACACCGGGTATACTACGTTCGCGGTAATTCGTCGTCGTCGCCCCGGAACCACCATGAACTTGAGCCTGATCTTCTCGTAAATGTCTTTATGATGCCTCTGTTGATTTTAGCTGAACGATTATAAAGAGAGGATACACACTAATCCGCCTTCTATGTGAGCTGAATATTTATGCTATGCCCTTTGAATTATGTTACCTGTTCTTCGGTCAACTTATAGCATTCGAATGATAGTAATTTGATTGTTCTAAGCTGGTTAGTCTTCTAAATAATGATTCTAAATGGTAACGATTTCTGTTTTCTGAGCGATTTGTGTAGTTGTTAGAATGTTTTTTTTTTTCCTTTAAGGACAATTTGTTGAAGTTGGATAGATGAAACTTGTTCAATCCTATCGAGATTTTCTTGAGAGTATATTAATGTATTACTTTTCAAGATTTTATGAATCGTTAATCAAATTTATTACAAGTCATACGAATAATGAAATGCAGTCCAAAGCACGTGTATTCAGATCGATATCATTATTCTCGAACGACGCGTACCTATAGATAATAAACACATAATAGTAACCAACTTCCTCGAAAAGTTCAAGGGGCAGCGGGTTAATATATGCCCGCGTGCTGGTCTCTCTCGTGCGGAGCCTCTCTAACATCCCAGATGAAACTAATAATACATCCACACAGGGTAGCCACGTATTAATAATCAATAGATCATTTCCGATTCATTACTTTGCCATGATTGCATGTAACGTGCCTCGGTAAGTTCGATACCTCTATCCAAACGAACGCTACTCTCTCTCCCCCTTAACACGTTGCTCATCGAGCAAATTACACTCTAATTGGTGTATGAGATTCCTGAAAAATTTCTGCAAAAAGTTGCAGGGAAAATTTAATAATCTAAATTTGGAAATTCAATAATGTGAATTTGGAAAATTTGGAAATTTAATAATCTTAAATTGAAGAATATGAAAATTTAATAATCTAAATTTTGAAAGTTAAAAAAGTCAATTATTTAAGATTGAAAAATTATTAATAACAACATTTTTAATCCAAAAAATTTCGATAATTCTTTGTGATTCATTTCAATTTTTTTTTAGCGTATTTATTACTTTTAATTTCAAATGGTTTTCAACTTAATGGCACGTCCGTCTACGGCGACACTCTCGCCGGCGTGATTTGCAGAGATGGTCGAAGCGATGAAGAAGGTCGCCTCGTTGGACGTAGAGCTGACCGTCGAGGAGAGGAACCTCCTTTCTGTTGCCTACAAAAACGTGATCGGCGCGCGGAGGGCTTCCTGGAGAATAATTTCAAGCATCGAGCAGAAAGAGGAGAACAAAGGCGTCGAAAGAAAGCTGGAAATGATCCGTCAATACCGATCTCAAGTGGAGAAGGAACTTAAAGACATCTGCGCCGACATCCTTGGTGTTCTGGACAAACATCTGATTCCATATGCGTCCACTGGCGAATCAAAAGTCTTCTATTACAAAATGTAAGAGATTCGGCGAATCCCCAGTTAGGAAACGAATTTCTTTCATACTCTGATACTTTTAACGTTATCGATTGTAACACGGTATAGATTATATGTGTCGGTGATTATGAAACTGGCCTAAGTCATACTTCTCGTCAAGATATTTAGACTTTTTCCTTTGGAACATAAACTGAATTCTGTTTAACTACACAATTACTAACTTCATTTAACGGTTCAATTTTTATCTATTTTGCAAAAATAGCTTCATATCATTGTAATGTAAAGCAATGCAACATAAAATAAGCGATTAGTTGAATTTTTAAAAATTTCTGACTTAGTCCACTTTCATAATTAGCGGTGCATATTGTAATGTCAGAAAAAACGGTTTTTAAAATAGTATGATGGTTTCTGGCCGGATGGCACGGTAGCTTGGATTAAAAGGTAACCAGCAACACGGAAGAACGTACCGTTTCGGTCACTGATTTTCGAGGTATATTGTTTTCTAAAACTTGGAGCTGCCCGGCTCGATAATTCCGCTCCGTGGCGAATGTAATTTACGAATATCCGCGAAGATTCGGTCTTTACCTTGTTAACGCCTTGATAGATTCATATGGAAGCTCTTGAATTTCATTTAACGTCGCCGATTTCACCACTCCCACGTGCACCGTGATTCACACGAGCAGTTACAAATAAACGGATATCGTGTACGTGTTAGCAGCTCATTAGATTTAATGCTATAATGAATATTAATACCGGTTGCATTCTATGCGGTGGGTCAGGAACGAATGTTAAAAATTAACCAGGAAAATTCTTAGTATATTACTACCACTATTATATCGGATTTACTGTTCAATGAACACCGTATACAATGTGCACAATAGGAAAGAAATGGTAGAAATTAGAGATGTAGAATCAATTATAAACGATCAGAATGGAACAATAGGAATTTTGCAGTTAAGAGAAATGTAATAAGCTGATTAACGAGACTGTTTTCGATGTGCAATTGTAGGAAGGGCGATTACCACCGCTACCTGGCCGAGTTCGCCGTTGGTAACGACAGGAAGGAGGCCGCAGAAAATTCTCTGGTCGCTTACAAAGCGGCGAGCGACACCGCCATGACGGACCTGCCACCGACTCATCCCATCCGCTTAGGATTGGCGCTGAACTTCTCCGTCTTTTATTATGAGATTCTCAATAGCCCAGACAGAGCGTGCCGTCTTGCGAAGGCGGCCTTTGACGACGCGATCGCGGAGCTGGACACCTTGTCCGAAGAGAGTTACAAAGATTCAACCCTTATCATGCAGCTACTTAGGGACAATCTCACTCTGTGGACGTCGGATATGCAAGGAGATGGTTAGTAAAAATTATTTCACGTCAAACGATGAGTGGCGGCGAAGTAATTTTTGTGGTAAAAGGAGCTCTCCGGTCGTTTGCGTTTTAAAGCGTTTGCCACAACGCTAGGCTCTGTGTGGCGTGCGATCAATAATATGTATTGCAGCAGCACGATAAAATCTTCCCGTTGTATCAGATTTTTTCACACAACCAACAGAGCAAGTGTTATATGCAGGGAAGAATATACGATGCTCTTTTAATGGTTTATTCAGTGGTGTTATTTGAGAGAATTTATGTTTTATATATTTTGATATTGTATAATGCATTCAGAGTTCGAGACTGATCGCGAAAACGAGGCTGCGGCCGTTTCCACCAATGCTTGAGCCCAGGCACACCCTCTCCAATACGTTCTTGCACCATAAAGTCACCTGGTGAGCAACCCGATCGATCCTTTTCCTCCTCCTTTCTCCTTA